ACGCGGGAGCTGCCACTTGCTGCTTTCCTTTGGCAGCTGCTGACTGAGAAACAAATTTGGGAGGAAAGAATGAGTCACCACTCCCCTTCCAGTCTAAAAGTGCCTTCGAGGAGCTGCTCGTCACCAGAGCCAGCCTTTGCTTTTACGAACCCGACAGTTGCAGAGCATCTCCCAGAGACGTGCTGCTGGCCACGAGACCCTCGCTGCATCTTTCCCCATGCCCAATTCCCACCACCTCCTCCGTGACACCATCCAATCCGCCCCAGAGTCCCCGAGGAGCCTCTGCAGGCAGCAGGTGCCTGGGATGGGCAGAGAGGCGGCAGAGCTCAGCTCGGCCGTGCTAACCTCTCCTCACAGGCAATCAAATCCCCACCCCAGCAGGAGTCCCTGCATATTAATTGCACTGCGTTATCCAGCCATCTGTTCCTGCAGCCAGGAAAAGAGCAGTCCCTTTGGTCTCCTTTATTAACAGGTTTCCCTGTAAATGCAAACAAACCCTCTCGCCACAGCGCCGCACTCCAGATCCACTTTGAGGCACCCGGGAGGGAAGCGAGAGCTCGTGGGCTTTTTAGTAAATCAAGAGCAGCGAAAGCAAAGGTGGTGATTTCGCATTGCCTACGGCCAAGCGGAGCAGGGAGGGAAGAGGAGAGGCCTCTGCAAAGCCAAACCCACGGATGAGATGGTTTCTGATCCTCCCGCTCACATTAAAGCCCCTCACTGTCACCCTGGGAGGGAAGGGGCAGGCTGAGCCGGCTGCAGGGGAGATCTGCCCGCACCCGGCCGTGCCTAACCCACCTCGGGGTGTATTTCCCCCCTGTCCCCATCCTTTCCCTGCTCACCCACCATCTCCCCAGGCAGAGGATGCTCTGCACGAAGCACAGAGCCCAGCCTGCGCTGCTTTGTCACATGGAGGTTTGAAACCGCTGCCAGGGCTGACCCTGCTGCCCCAGGGGGCTCCGCATGGCCCCACGCGGTGGGACCTCGCATCCATCCTGGCAAAACCGCACAGGAGCTGGACCTGCCAGCCGGCAAAGAGCTCGCTGCACCTGCTGAGAAAAGCATGAAGCCTCTGAAAGGGGATCAGCCACACAAAGCCTGCCGTGAAGCTCCAGCCCCAGCAACGCGAGGCTAAGCAGCAGGGACTGGGAAGGACACACCAGCTCCTCTGGTTTTGCTCTTTTCCCAGAGAAAAAGCTTTGGAAAGGCAGAGGCAGCACCCAACTGGTTTCCTGGTGTTGTTTCCCCTGCTTCTCCTCCTAAACATCACCGAAACGTCAGCGACTGTCCCCAGGCTGCAGGGGTCCCAGCCCTACCCAAAGGCAAGCTGCTGCTGCCATCTCCCGGCTCCACCACCCGGAGATGGGGCTCAGGGGTCTGTACTCCCACCCCAAAGCACCAGCTCTGAAATGGAGCCAGCAAGAGAAAAAAGAGTTTTCCCAGGAAGGGACACTGAGCTGCCATCTTGCACCCTGCTTCTGCGGTCATCCCGCCCGAAGCCTCCCTGGACCACCAAGGTTGATCACAAGCCCTAATGTTCACTGTTTGCTCTTCTCCTCTCCTGCACTTGATCACGTTGCCCCAGCAGCACAGGACTGGCAGGTGGGATCAAGTGACCTGACATCTGGCCATCTGGAGTACCTTTATTTATTACTCTCAGCACACATCCCCTTTGCATCTTGTCATCAGCGCAGAGCTGAGCTGCCTGAGGAGGTGGCAGCTCCGTGCACATAAATGACGCCACGACGGAAGATGTCAGCAGCTTAAAGACCATTGAGACAAAAGTCTGCTCAGTAAGCTGGATGAAACCCAAGAGCTCTGAGAGCAGGGTGGGTTTTTCTCCTCCTCTTGGACTTGGTCACAGCAGCCTCGTGCACAGGAGGTAGAAACCAAAGCTGCCAACACAGGAGCTGGTGCCGTGACTCAGCGAGGCAGCCACACCACAGCAGCTCCCAGAACAAGACGAAGGTCACGGGTCTCATTAGGGACAGCACTGGGAAACAGCTTCCAGGGCAAAGTGTTGGCTTATTCCAGTACACCCAGCTAACTCCTACTTCTCTCCAGTTCCTTTCCTCCTCTGGGGAATCTGTTCAGAGAGACAGGGTGAGATGTCCCACGCTCTGCAAACCACCTTCGATCTTCACAGCGAGTAAGTCCCCCACCACGGCACCGCTGGGCCAGGGGGACAGCACGTTTGACCAGGCAGGGAAAGGCTACACAAGCTCATTTCTCACCTTCATCCACTGTCCTCCTGGGCTCTGCGTTCACCACAGAAACCCACACGAGAAGTGTCTCATTCCCATTCCCCAAAGTGGAGCAGGTTTCCAGGCGCAGCTGCAACTCCAAGCATGAGGCATTCAATTACAGGTTAAAAAAAAACCAAACCAAAACCCAAACAGTGCAGAAAAGGAAGGGACGTTGTTAACATTCAGGGGATTTGAAGGAGACCCTGAAGTATCTACTAGTCAGCAGGTGCTGGGGAATAATCCTCTTCCACCTCGGCTCCACTTACCCACATCCCTACCAGGATAAGCGAAGCTTTCTGCTTGTCCATGCAGCTCCCCCACACTTGGCTGGATTTGAACCGCTGACGCAAGAAAAAGATGGAATAACCTAAAGCCACCCGGCGAACCTCGAGTCTTGACAATCTCCAATCCCCAGCAACCTGCTTGGCAGCCCCGCGTCGCAGTTGCCCCACGCGTCACTGGGTGCGCAGACCACCCACCCCGGCAGACAGGTACACCCCATTTCTAAATAACCCCTCCCTGCCTATTTCTGGGTACTGAACTGCTGATGGGCCAAGACCCCCGTGGCCAGCAGCCAGCTCCAGAGTCACCGCACGCTGCCCAGCCGCTGATCGGAACCGAGTTCGTGCTGTATTTACCAGGTCCGGGCAGTCACTCCCACCCTCAGCAACCCCCAGTTCCGACACCCTCCCCTGCGCTGCTCTGGCACGATCTTTAATCTTTAATTCTATTAATACTGCCTAATAATTACTTTGTTCCAAGCCTGCTGAGTAATGACGGCCGGCACTTCCATTTCATTACTATTCCTGTGAAGGAATCAAGCTTTAACACATCGAATTTCTGCGGAGAGGAGTGACGAGAAGCACGCTTGCTGTCCTCGCTCTGCCCGCATGTTCC